GAGACAACTACGAAATCGACTTTTCCGAAAATCATCTTCACGGACACTATTTCATCTGGAAAAACAACTGCCAAACCCACACAAAATGAAATCACAAAGACGACACAAACCGCACAAACTGAACCACAAAGTACAACAACAGCTATAAAAACCACGTCAGATAGAAGCGAGGACACCGCAGAAATCTGTGTTAGCCGCGTGGACCCAAAAATCTGCATACAAGAAGAACAGACACACAATGTAGAACCACCAACAATGGGAACATCTACACAGTTAGAAGCCAGCCATGAGATGATAACAGAAGGACTGGTCGCGACGTTGGAGAAAGCCAAAAACACAGTGGAATCGGAGGAAGACACACCATTGTTCAGACAAAGGTTACAGCGGGTTCTGGGCGTACGATATATCGCCGCAGCCACCAAGAAGGAACGAAATCTGTGTCCACTGATCAAATTTGTCAAGAAGAGGGATTGGGAAGCCATCAAAGCTTCCTACGGACAATACTGGCACAACATACGAAACAGGCTACATGTCCGAGAGGATTGTCTACTCATAGACGAAAGAATCGTCATACCTATACAACTCAGACAGACAGTGCTAGACAGCCTCCATTTGACACATCCGGGATCGGCAGCCATGTTGGATTTGTGTCAACATGTCTGATTTCCACATATTCATCGGTCAATTGTGCAAATGGAACAAAATTGTAAACACTGCACAGAGCAAGGTAAAAATTTAAAACGCATCATAGGAAAGAAACATTCATTCCAAATGGAACCAGTGGTTGAACCTAACGAGGAAGTCTAATTAGATTTCAAAGTGCCCCTCCCGGATGAATTAAATCAAGACGCGTACATTTTAGTTGCAATAGATAAATGGTCAAAATTTCCCACTGCAAAAGTTGTTACCAATACAACAGCGGACATTGCTAATAAAATGTATGCAACTTTACATTTCATATAACGGGGTACCCCTAAGATTAAGATGTGACCAAGCACAAACATTTAGAGCTAAAACATTTCAACTGTTATGCAGTACCAACAATATAAAACTATTGTTTGCCCCGGTAGATGATCGTAGAGCCATAGGGGTAGTAGAGAGAATTATACAAACTTTGAAACGTAGGTTAGCGGTAATGAAAATGGATCAAACAAACACACCGTACAAGCTCGCGTCAGATGAAGCTGAAATTATTAAAACATTGAGAATCACACCACATAGCGTAAAAAAAATTTCACGATTCGAGGCCCACATGGGCCGTAAACCAAACACACCCTTGTCAAACGTAGCAACTAGTAAATCACTTAACAACCTGAACTGGGTAAGCGCAAAACATGCATGTTTAGACCGAAAGAACCTTACAAAGCCGACTACAACGGAGTAATGCACGACTTACAACGGTGGTCAGAAGATGAAGTATCTATCAAGAAGAAAGAACCGAAACCACAAATGCCAAGCAATCTCACAAACACCCCGACACAACAAAACACAGGTGCAAAATCAAAAGTTATAGAAAAAATCAAAGATAAGTTAAACATAAGATATAAGAGGGTACAAACAACAACAGACAAAAACACGAAAAAAACGGGTAGATCAGGTAGCACGGACAACGATTAGAATAGCAACGAAGGTTAAGGATCCGAAAACATTCGAACAAAAACACAAAAACTTAGACGGGAAAATTCTTACATATACTCCATACACCGCATGGGTGCAAACGTTCGGAAAGCAACCGAGACTATTAAGAAATAGCGGTGGCGCATTTGTCCCAAACCCTTTAATATACGGACCATGCAGACCGTCTCGGCTCAGTGATTACGTTGCTTATAAATCCGCACGGAGATCAGGACCTTACCTACGTTTTTTAGGCATAGAGAGCCCTACTCTTCCCCAGCACCCAATGTTCAAACAGGATGAAACAACGGGCCTACCAAGGAAGCTGACTCAAAAAAAGAAGGTGACAGGACAAGCAAACCAAAATAGCCCAACGAAACGGAAAGCCAAAGCAACGGGCAAACGAACCGGCGGGCGCCCGACACACAAGCTACAAACAAGCGAAATGAAGCTGCAAACTGATATCCCCGCCGGAACCTCGGAAGCGGACCCCAACTTTCAACAGAAACCAGCATCCAGCAACTCAGACATTGACGACCAATCATCAATCTCCTCA